TTGAAAAGATGATGAAAATGATCGAGCTTTTCATTCTCTTCATTTACGTTCTTGTTGTATATTAGGAATGTACTATTTTTTCTTCGATATGCAACAAAATGTCTTTTGCATGAAATAATTTGTTTGCACGACTATCTCGTTCACTGGCACCCGAAGTGGAGGTACCTCCTCCCCTCAATTAAAAATTGCGAAAGCTTGTAATTTTTCAAAATTATATGATTTCCCTGTCAGTCATACCCATATTTAATTACATATATATGTGACCACATCGATTCACATGTATTGACTAAATTTGAGAATCCATTTACTCTGTAAAGAGAAGCATACACCTCTATGTACATTTTTAAAATTATGAATGTAAAATAATGAAAGGCCCATATATTTAAAAATACCTCGCTTCATCGCCAACATAGAAATATTCAATCTTTTTGAAAATTATTTTTTAAAAAAATTATACGAGCGTACACATGTATGTATACTCGCTCTTTATCAAAACAAAAAAATGCAGGCAATCAAAGATTACGAAGCTCATCTCGATGATATAATTTTTAAGTATAGGCAAATCTAACGTATTTTAGCTCATCAGAGCTGAAACCTCAAGTGAGCTTTTCTGATCACCGGGGGACCCGGTTAACGTCCGTCTGTAAATGTTTCACATTTTTCACTTCCTTTGAAGAATCTCTAGGCCAATTTTAGGACCATTACACGCTTAGTTTGGACTTTCAGTAAGGCGTGGCATTCTCGACGTTACCAAAATACATATGACAGAAATGCGGCAGAATGTCAGCTGGTGTTGTAAATCGCCAATTAAAAGTTCTCTCACGGCACAGGGGTGGGGCAGCTTTCGTTGTCAACAACAATTCTTCCTGATGTTATTAATTTCTTAACCAATGAGAATCTACTAGTATTCGCCATTACGTAGCGCCGAGAATGCCACGCCCTGTTGAAAGTCCAAACTAGGGAGAAAATCATCATATCTTTAGCATCCCTTTGTGAAGGAAAGTCTAAATTGTTAAAATAGAAGGACCACGACCCGTTCCAAGGGGAGATAATCAAGAAAAAGAAAAAATTAGGCGGGGTAATCAAAAATCTTTTTCTCAAGATCCACTGGACCAGAAAAATTTATAAATATTTATGTGAAGAGCTTTCTGAGGTTGTGTAGATTTTAATTACAGTCGCACCTGTTGTTACGGCCACCTTTAATCAGCGGCCACTCCCCATGAGCGGCCAGTTTCAATCCCGCCCGATGTTTTTTCAATATTTTAACTCATTTAAGCGGCCAATGGCCAGTGGCCAGTGTTTTTATCCCGTGCGCTCAACACGTGTTTTCAGCGGCCATTTTGTCTGTTTTGTCACATGATTTCCGTTTGACACGTGACCTCGTATCCTCATACGAAGCCAAACATGAACAGCTGATAATGAGTTTTAATGACCAATTATTGCAGGTGTAATTTCAATTCTGTCAGGATTTAATGATTTAATTAATATGATTAAATGATTTATTTGTTAACAAACATTTTTTTGTGTTCTTAATATACGAAAGTAAGTTGTTAAATATTTTCATGATATAAACACATAAACTCAATAGGCTACATATTAATAACAATTTCGTCTGAGGTTATCAAGTCAAGCGGTCAGTCTCGCGTTTTAACCTTTTATGTTTTATAAATAAATTTGTATCTAGAAAAATAAAAGCTTCAATTACACAGCATAAAGGGAAATGCTTAGTTGTTAGAACATTTCATGATTTCCTGTGATGTAAATTATATGGCTGTACAATTAAATTACCAACACACATACACAAAAAAAAAACACCCAGATTTCTTCAAAAAATTCATGTAAAATGAAATGGAAGAAAAAGGATTTCATGTGACTTAAAACTTTATAAGTGTTTAAATGTGTTGAAATTGGATTTGGATACGTGTAAAAATAAATACACAGCCGTGGTCGCAATTTTTTATTCATTGGTTTGAAACCTGGAATAAGTGGCCACCTGTCTTATGTGGCCAATTTGTCATTCTCCCACGAGTGGCCTCTTAAAACAGGTTTGACTGTACTCCCGGGGAGGATAAGGCTACTATGGGGAATCAAAGTTTTCCATAAAAATACATAGGGAAAATCTTAAAAAACAAAGTAAAAACAAGAGGCCAATGGGCCAAATCGCTCACACGAGCACATTGGCTAGGAAAATCAAGACTGAAAAATTTCAAGAGGGAGGGTTGAATTTTAAACTACCCTAGAATGCTTCCATATCAATATAACAAATGGCATTGCGGCTCTTCAAGAATATTTTCCCCATCCTTCTTTTTTTTTTTAAATTTGATACCCCATTGTGGCCCATCCCTACCCCTGTGTGTCATGATTTGAACAAATTTGAATCTACACTGCCATAATATGCTTCCATATCAACATAACTAAACATGGCTTTGCTGTTCTTGAGATCTTTTTAGGTCACCTGAGTAACTCAGGTGACCTATTACTATCCGTTTTCGTCCGTCGTGCGTTGTGTGTTAACATTTGAACATTTTCAGCTTCTTCTCTGAAACCACTGAACAAATTTCAACCAAATTTGGTATACAGCATCTATGGGTGAAACAAAAATTGTGAATTTTGTGATCCCCGCCCCCCTGGGGCCTGAGGGGTGGGACCAAATCCACCAAAATTACTGTAATTTTTAAAAATCTTCTTCTTTACTCCTGGACATCAAGCAGGCAAACTGTTGGCATGAATGTAATGAGCATTGAGTTCTCTACCAAAATTGTGAAATTCATGGCCCCAGGATCAGGGGTTCTTGTGCTAGGGCGGGGCTATATAGATTATATAGTGAAAATGCATTATTTCTTTGAAAATCTTCTCTGCTCTTGGGTATTAAGTAAACTAACTAATTACATAGTTATGTTGAGCAAGAGTGCCACTTCCAAAATTGTGAATTTTATGGCCCCAGGGTCAGGGGTTCTGGTTAGGGTGGGGCTCTATTGATCATATAGTGAAAATGCATTAATTCTTTGACAATCTTCTTCTCTGCTTCTGGGTATTAAATAAACTAATAACTAAGTACATAGTTCTGATGAGAAAGTGTGTTTCTTCTAAAATTATGAATTTTATGGCCCCAGGGTCAGGGGTTCTGGTGTTAGGGTGGGGCTCTATTGATTATCTAGTGAAAATGCATTTATTCTTTGAAAATCTTCTTCTCTGCTTCTGGGTATTAAATAAACTAACTAAGCACATAACTAAGCACATAGTTATGATGAGCAAGAGTGTCTCTACCAAAATTATGAATTTTATGGCCCCATTGTCAGGGGTTCTGGTGTTAGGGTGGGGCTCTATTGATTATATAGCGAAAATACATTAATTCTTTGAAAATCTTTCCTTTGCTCCTGGGTTTTATGCCAATGATCCAAGAATATATATTTATGATGAAGAAAGGTGTATCTAGCAAAATGTATTTTTTGTGTCCCCCCTCCTGGGTCAGGGGTGGGGATGGAGGTTACATATTCTGAAAATAAATTAATGCTCTTTGGTATTAATCAACCATTTTAAGATAAAATTTGCAAATTTTGAAATTTGTGGCCCCAAGTCAGTGGTTCCTTTGGGATGATGTGCACAAAAGTGGAAGAGCATTTTCTCTTTGTTACTCTGATCTACCTTTGGGTATTAAGTAAATAGAGTAAGCATGCTAAGTCTATAATTATGATAAGCAATGGTGCCTCTTTCAAAATTGTGAATTGCAAATTTCATGGCCTCTGGTTTAAAACACAAACCAAATTTAATTGTTTGAAAGTTGTTGCACAATACTCAGGTGACCTATAAGGCCCGTGAGCCTCTTGTTTCTCTATATATTCCTAAGTATAACTTTTGATCCCCCATTGTAGCCGCAACCTACCCCATCACCCTGGGCAGTCATGATATGAACAAACTTGAATCTACACTACCTAAAGATGCTTCCATATCATAAGAACTAAGCCATTGAACAAATCACAAATCCAAAGCAACAATACTTTGGTATCCATTCCTAGATTGCTAAGAACAACATTTAGAAATTGTCCTTTCAGCAATTTTATACAATACAGATCTGAATTCATGTATAATTTCAGAGTTTATACCAGTCAAGGAGGCGGTACTCTACAAGTGCTCTAAGCAGTATCAGTGAGGAAAATACATATGTCAACTTCCCAGTTCGTCATCATAATCAACTTAACAACACCGCCCACAGAGAAAATAAAACTGCTAACAATTCTTTTCTCAGTACTGACAACACTTCTGTGGTGTATTCCAAAAGAAGACGGCCATCATTTCAGTGCGACACAATTATTACCAAAGACTTCAACCAACAGATTCCTTACATGGCTTCTAAAGGAAACCAGGCTTTTCCTAGCCCCATGCATGCAGTAATGAGACACTATGAAGTTGTTCTTAAGAGTGCTAATTCGGAATCCAATCTGAGGAAATCCACTTCACAAAGTGAACTGAAATCCACCCCAACCCAGAATTCTAACAAGGATTCTAATGAAAATGTCTCAAAAACAGAAGAGCTTCAAAAGTATCTGAAGCAGCGCCGATCGAGTTTACCTGTTACATTGAAATCTATAAAAGTGACCGATATTGACCAGTTTTGGCAGAATTACAGCAACGGGATGAAGGTCAGTGGAAACAAGTGTGCCAAAGATGACATCAATTCCCTGTCATTAGATACTACTACAGAGTCCACTTTATCTTCAGTAGAGGAGGAGGCAGAACAAGAGAATCCAAACACAGGTCCAACAGAAACTGACCAATCAGAACAGCTAAACACAGAAACTGACCAATCAGAACAGCTAAACACAGAAACCAACCAATCAGAACAGCTAGACACAGAAAACGACCAATCAGAACAGCTAGAAACAGAAACCAACCAATCAGAACAGCTAGAAACGGCCCTGTAAACAAAAAATGCCCATGGCAACTGTTTTTTTAGAATGTTAATCTCTCTGTTTTTCAAAAAAGAATTCATTCATACTGAATTGTCTTGAATAAAATATTTGTTTATTTGTTATGTTAGTATCACCTAAAAGGGTAACACATGATAAACTTTCTTCTCATAAGTTCTTACAAAGATACTGGAAAGAAGAGGTTACTTCTGATTTGAATTTAAACTCAGAAGTTTTACTTATATTCAACAAAATTTGTGGACATTATTTTGGCATGTCAGTATCAACCTCCTTATGAAAAATATGAACACAAGTTTATGAACATACTGCATCTGCCACATTTCTAAATAAAATATACATGTACAAACAAACGAATGATAACAAGAAACAGTATTAACATAATAAATTATCTGCTGCAGATATGTGTTTCTCATTTGAAAAAAAAAAAAAATGGCACAGGCCAGAGACACTTCATAATACAATCATATTTGGATACTTTATCACAGTGTCAGTTTCGTTGACTAGGCATTAGCATTAATTTCCTCCGAGTAGATATGAACCGAGTCCACAAACGTCCTCACACTCTCGGGGTCGGTGTCCCTGATGACCCCGTGACCCAGGTTGGCAATGTATCGTTGGGTTCCGAACTTAGTTACCATGTCTTTAACAGCATGTTTAAGCTCCTCCTAAAATTTATCACCATATATTACATTACATCATACCAAAGAGAATAAAAAATATATAGTAAGTTTTGTAATTTTATTACAGGTTGTTTTTTTTTTCAATCAGTCCAATTTCAGTTATTTTCTCTGTATAAAATATCTATCTAAATAGTTAAATATTAAATATATAGTTATTTTTTTTCTAAATAGATAAATATTAAATTACAGGACATGGTAAAAGGATAATACAGCATTTAAAACAAACAAAATGCCCTTTTTTTCAAATTAAAATGGTATGAAAATGTACATTTCCCTTTGAATCTTAGTCTAGGGATTTAATACTGGTTTATTATTTAGATGAATTTTCTTTTTTTTTAAAAACAATATCTTTCTAAATTAGATATCACATATATATTCATAAAATTGTTAGACTTCAGATTTGTGCATATTTTGGGTGTAACTGTGTTTTCAAACCAGGATTGTTCTGCACAGCTTTGTTGATAACAGAATCCACAAGTGTGTCAAGATTTTGTTTTAAAAGTGTATAAAGATTAATCACCTGACTGTAAATCCTACCAATCTTCTTTTCACGTGAATCGCAAACAAAGAAAATTTCACTATTAAAATTCCCTAAGTATAGAGAAATATTAACAATTCGTGCAACTTGCATAAGGTCGATCCCATTGTTGCGAAAATTTAGGATTATACAGCATTTAAAACGAAGACAAACATCCTAACCATGAAGTATTCAAATTTAAAATCTTAAACAACTGGGGATAAAATTGTTAAAATGTACAACCGTAGTAACGGAAGTGATGGGGGGGGAGGTATGTACATAGATCTAGCAGCCAACCTTGTTTACATGAGGTAAGAAACCTGTTTTAAGTTAAAATTATTTTATTTTTTCCTTTCACTTTAAATAAAAGCGCTCAATGCACTGAGCTTATAAATGTTTACATCCCTACCCCATCCAACTTCATATGCATATAATGGCAAAGTACATGTTTGGAAAAACAATAGGAGATGGATAATGACAATATGTAATTTGAGATCTATGAAAGTCTCATCAAGTTATATTCAATGTTAAAATTGTACAGATGTACTTATTAATAGCCATAACAGGCATGCAAACTTCAGGTTTTTATTTTTCTGTGAATAGTTCCTTTACATTTTGTATCCAAGTTTTCAAAGCAGGAGAATAATAATTCTGCATAGCAGAGTTGATACATGTAACAGAATATCGCATATGTGTCAAAAACAACTTGATAAACACATATTTCAATATATCGATTCAAAATTATTTTAATGCAGAAAACTGGGGATTTATTTTTATTCAAAATAAGCGGAATTTCAAAATAAGGGATTTCAATATAATTGGAGTAAGCTGTATTACTAACCTTGCATGTGTTGGTTTAATGGTCCAGTCAATTCCTACTACTTCATAACCACTATTTGACAAGTCCTCTAGGGCAAAATGAACATCTTTGGCAAAAACTACCTGTAAAGTAATATAGAAACTATTTAAAAGAAAAGTTATACCTTGGCTTAAGGTTTCATATTTTTTAAAACATTATAAATATTAAAGAGCTCATCCAAAAAATCTCACTTAATTAACAATAAATCAAGTGTTTGTTCAAAAGCTGTGTTTTCCCAAAACACATGGACCAGGATTTATGTATTTGTTAGCATTATCATGCATATTAGTTTTTATCAACATTTTGGTTTTAAAAAATCATTCAAATAAATATCAAACTTACTGAAGATGTGGAATTACTATGGAAATTGGCATGCTTCAAAAATATGGAAAGTCATTTGACGTTTAGGTAACTCACCTTGAATTTTATATAAACCTACCCTGGTTTATGAAATAAAAACAACGCTGAAGAATGTCAGTATCTGAAGCAAAACTTGTGTAGTGTGCTTTCCTAGATGTTATACATCAAAAATGCAAGATTGAGAGCTCACCTCAAAGTTACTCTAGTAGTGTTATTCCTAGATGCAACATTTATGCAAGTTTAGTCCAGGAAGGGCTTGCAGTAACTTTGAAAAGAAACTGCTTCAAAAATTAACTAGGTCACTCACCTGAAAAATGAAGGTCAAATCCAGCATCTGAAGCAAACCTGTCTAGTACATTGTAGTGTGTAAAATTAAATTGGAATGAGTCTGTTTCATTCAATACAAGCAAGTTTGCTCAAGGGCATGAAGTATCTTCTTAAAAACTTAAACCTTGTCACTCATCTAGAAAATGAAGGTCAAATTCAGCATCTAAAGCAATTCTTCAGCATGCATCCCTTATAGCATCATCCATGCAAATTTAGTTCAGGTAGGCCTAATAGTTTTTTGGTATCAGACCTGCTGCAAAATCTTTGGGGTGAGCCTTTTCAAAATGAGACAGACAGGTTTTCAAAATGTATGTGCAACTAACACAAGGATCACATAGACCTCTCACCATAGGAACATGTTCTATATTTTGTTCAGTCAGTCTCTCCTTGACTCCATAAGCCACTTTTCTAAGGTAGGGAAGCCCAAATTTATTGAACAATCCCGGGCCCATTTCACCAGCATTACTATCAAACACCTGCAGCATCTAAAACAAACAAACAAAATAATGGATATAGGCAAAGCTTGTATTCATATAGCTACAAAAGCTATTTGAATTTTCTGTTACAAGGTCATACCTGTGCCCCGGCCTTGACCTGAGCTACAAGGTAATCTATTGTTTTGGTCGTCAGTAGCTGCAGTAGTGTGTTACTGGCCTCAGGGTACTGGACTAGCCACCTCCTGGCCTTGGGGACGGGGGCTGCTGAGCTGCCATCAATCATGTACTTCATAATGGTCCACTAAGTCAAGTAAATCAACACAATTATTGTTAAGGATCATTAAACTGTAGCCATGAACTTTCAACAAAAGTTATGAATGAATGCTTCTAATTGAATTTTCTCATAGATATTTGACAGTATGTTTGAATATGAGAGGTGATTTAGCATGGTATACTTTAAACCAACTACTATTTGCGTCATCTTTTATTTGCGATTCGTCAGTTTGAAATCAATCTGAGACGACCAATTTTCACGAAGAAGGAAACATTTTCTACAAAAACAGAGCAAAATAAATGATTCGCGGCAATTAATATTTGGGACTTAAAGTGGGTCGCACACTCACAAATATTTCTTGCATACGAATTAAAGTTCGTTTACAGTATTATCGATTAAAATTTTCTAAATCAGCACACAACTTGCCCAAGCTTATTTCATTTTTTAATGAAACAGAACAACTTCTTACAAAGCTTGAAATTCTGACAAATATAAGAGTACTAATTTTCTGAGGTGAGAAGTGTCTTACGGGGGCACCAGAGAAACCGATGAGTGGACACCGTCCCTCCAGTCTCTGTCTGGTCAGAGTAATGGCATCCATCACGTAATGAAGTTCCTGCGTCACGTCAACTATTGTGTTCAATTTTTTCAGATCTTCTGGAGTTTGGAGTAAAAAGTCAAATGTCATACCCTAAAAAATATAGTATACATTTATTAATGAGATGAATACATGAAGAGAATTGGAAAGAATTTTGAACATGCTATATTATGTCACTAAATAAAATGATACATGTTCTTGTCTTCATACCTTTCCTTCTTCAATGTCAATTCCAATTCCTAAAGCTTGTGGAATGACTAAAATGTCAGAGAAAATGATAGCTGCATCAAGGTTAAACCGCTTCAAAGGCTGAAAGTACAAGTAATATTAAAATAAATTTTACAAATTTTTGGGAGTTGTTAATCGGGCTCAACATTAAATAAAATATTGTAACTATATTCTAGCAGTTGTCAACTCAACAAGTTGCTAACAACTGTTATTTGTCCGAATGCATTTGTTACTTACATAAATCTGAAAAGATAATGAACCTTAATATAAAGAATATATATATAAATTACCAATAAACACTGACTTATAAAGATTTGAATACTGTAAACGTATTACATCTGGCTGTGTATTCTTTTTAGCACCTTTCGCAGAAAGAAACTTCCGCTAAATCAAGTACACCACTAATTGACTTGCACATATATGAATGAATAGGAACATGAAATAATGCGCTAAATCAAATCTACGCTAACTTGTTGAAAAATCAATTTCCGCCAAATACCGTACATGCCAAATAAAATAAATTTACAGTAAGTAACCCACCTGAAGAGTTATCTCACATGAAAACTCCGGGTTTCTGACCATATCAAAAAATGAGGCTGAATGCTCTGCTTTAAATTCACCATATTCTGCAAAAGTATATAATACAGGCCTTTGAAAAATACAAACTCCTCCTGAAATCATACAGATGCATGTCCATTTCAAGTAAATGTCGACTTTACATATACAGATAAACTTTGGTTTCCAAGCCTAAAATCTCGAATACCAAGTATAATATGTCAACGAGGTATGGAAACCCCAACATACTTATATTTAAAGTATTTCTCTCAATATCTTGATTCTTTGGATTTCTGCAAGATTTTTCTTGGTCCCATTGAGTTTGAGATAATGTGAAGATTGACTGTGCATATAGTTTTCATAAAGCTATGCCGAGGAATGTTTTCACTGTTTTGGGATGAATATTCTTACATTCAATACTATCACTGAGCTAGAAGATTAAAAAAATTACTACTGAGGTTAATCAGAAAGGGTGATGTCAGATATAGTTGCATGTTAAAAATTCCTGACCTGATAAATAGCGGCCTGCTTGACGCATCAGCCATACTGGTGTACGCTCTGTTCTCTCTCCTCTGGCAGCTCTTAATATAAGATCATTCTTTAGAGGTGGAAAAAACTGTCAACGATAATGAAACCATTAATTTTATTTAGAATAAGATCAATTCAATTTTATGATTTCAATCTCCATTTTTTAATCATGTTTATAGGCAGATGTACAAATAAACTGCTATGCGGTGGTTAAATTTTTGTAATATCTTATAAATGTGAATTTATCAACCCCCCCCCCCCAACTATTTGGCAAAATAATCGAAAGTTTAAATGTCCTCACAGCTGACCTGTAAGGATTTATGCACTCAGTTATTATAATGATATAATCAATGAAATTATAGACATTAATAAGAATTACCTGTGTTATTATTGGTGCTGTCATCATAAATTTTTACAAAGAACGCAAAATACTATTGAAAATCATAAGTTCTTCAGCAATATTTACATAACATACGGTACATAATACATATGTATGAAACAATCACACGTGTTGTAAAAAATATTAGAGTGATTTCCCTTTGAACTGCAGTATGGCATGCCTAAAAACTTACGTTACCGCATATTATTTTTCTTCTTTAGCTTGCGTAAAATTCTCAAAACGTGTAAATAAAATAAGGTTATGCAATTTTCATTGATGAAGATTATTCAAGAAGAAGCAAGCCTCTTTTAGGAAGAGACTGGGTCGCTGGGAATGAAAAAAACCTTATTTTCATTTCTAAAAGAAGGAGAGGGGGGGGGGCAGACTCGCCAATGTACCTATGAACTAAGTATAAATATAGTATATAGGTCCCATCTTATGGGTTCTAAAAACAATTGAAGATTTTTCTTTTTGAAATTTTTTTTAAACACATGCAATCCCGTTTGTGTAGCTATTTCTACTGGACACTACTTATGTTTAAACCCTGTAAAACTTACGACACCTTCCTCACTTTGTGGGGGAGGGGGTGGGGGATAACAGACTGTCATTAATCAGTTAATTGTGCTTTAATAATAATTCTTTAGAAATCTAAAGTGTTTGGCTTTTCTCCATGTGAATAGCCACTTCACTGGGCCAGTGAGCTACCTAATCATCCACTTGGTTGTTCTGCATTATTATTTCCAAAAATATTTTTAAGGAAAAAGTCTCTTTTCATCCAAACGAAGTTAAACTGGCAGTCTTTGATGAGAAAGTAATTATACATTCTTATCAGACTTCAAGTTCTGTATGAATTCAGGAACTACAAACATAAATGTGGGTATAAATAGCATAACAAATATTTCAAGAATTAGTATGAAACATTGAAAGCTTATGTAAAAGAGGCCCAGGGGCCATATCGCTCACCTGAGCAATTGGCTAGGAAAAAACACAGATCAGATCAGAACTGAAAGTAAACTGGGGGGGGGGGAACATTGAATTTTCATGTAGTGTCATTTTTGAAAAACTTGAATCCACACTACCTGAGGATGATTCCCTATAAATATAACGAAGCCTGGCTTTGAAGTACTTGAAAAGAAGATTTTAAAAGGTTTCCCTATATGTTCCTATGTAAAACTTTGATCCGCCATTTTGGCCCCACCCTACCCCCGGGGGTCATGATTTGAACAAACTTGAATCTACACTACCTCAGAGGATGATTCCACATGAGTTTAATCTTTCCTGGCCCAGTGGTACTTGAGAAGAAGATTTTTAAAGATTTTTCCTATATATTCCTATGTAAAACTTTGATAAATTTTGCCCCACCCTACCCCCGGGGGTCATGATTTGAACAAACTTGAATCTACACTACCTGAGGATGATCCCACATAAGTTCCATCTTTCCTGGCCCAGTAGTACTTGAGAAGAAGATTTTTAAAGATTTTTCCTATACATGTATATTCCTATGTAAAACTTTGTTTGCCATTTTGTCCCCACCCTTCCCCCGGGGGTCATGATTTGAACAAATTTGAATCCACACTACCTGAGGATGATTCCACATGAGTTTCATCTTTCCTGGCCCAGTGGTTCTTGAGAAGAAGATTTTTAAAGCTTTTTTCCTATATATTCCTATGTAAAACTTTGATCGGCCATTTTGGCCCCACCCTTCCTTTGTGGGGGTCATGATTTGAACAAACTTGAATCTACACTACCTGAGGATGATCCCAAATGAGTTTCATCTTTCCTGGCCCAGTGGTTATTGAGAAGAAGATTTTTAAAGATTTTTCCTATATATTCCTATGTAAAACTTTGATCGGTAAATTTTGGCCCCACCCTACCCCCGGGTGGTCATGATTTGAACAAACTTGAATCTACACTACCTGAGGAATGATCCCACATGAGTTTCATCTTTCCTGGCCCAGTGGTTCTTGAGAAGAAGATTTTTTAAGATTTTTTCTATATATTCCTATGTAAAACTTTGATCGGCCATTTTGGCCCCACCCTACCCCCGGGAGTCATGATTTGATCAAACTTGAATCTACACTACCTGAGGATGATTTCACATGAGTATCATCTTTCCTGGCCCAGGGGTTCTTGAGAAGAAGATTTTTTAAAAATGCCATTAATTTTTCTCTAATTCATAATTATCTCCCCTTGGAAAAGGGCCTGGCCCTTAATTTGAACAAACTTGAATCCCCTTCACCCAAGAATACTTTGTACCAAGTTTGGTTGAAATTGGCCCAGTGGTTCTTGAGAAGAAGATGAAAATGTGAAAAGTTTACGACGATTCAACGACAACGACAACGACGACGAAGTCAACGACGAAAAATACAACGGAAAATTTTTTAAATTCGATCATCACTTGAGCCTTCGGCTCAGGTGAGCTAAAAATTCAAATGAACAAATCTTTAAAAAAAAGAATAAAGCAGAATTTACATTATATGTGTGTATTTTAAAAAGTACCACACAAACCTGCAATCTTTTCAACGTTTGTTGAATAAAAAAATGAAATATCTATTCTGGCAGTTTATGTTCTGTTGATCGACCTGGACATCTAAAACTATTTAAACAACTGAGCTATAGGGATACCCCATTTGGAACATTTGAAAGAATTTATTAGATTCTCCTACTTAAGTTGAAAGTTTTCCCCAACATATCAGCATAGACAAAGCCATTTTTGTAGCAAAGAGTTATCTCTCTTTTTTCATGATTCCAACCTAACTTCATACTAATAATTTTTTAAATAATGTTTAACTTTTCTTAAAACGTTTATCAGCAAATAATTTGCTTCTAATATCTCTTAATTTTGTTTGGATGAAAACAAAAATATTAATCAACCAACATCAATTTGAGAAACATGGAAAATTGAATTAGTTCCCTTTTTCAAAATGCGAAGTAAATTATAAATGTAGTCAGTGATTTACTTAGCGTGACAGTGCCTGAGAAATTCAATACTATAAATTACCACAAAGAATTAAATTTCTTGATTTTTCATGTGCAATCAGAAAAAAAACTGAATGTGTATTAGCATTTTATGCAAACTATCTTTTAATTATTGTCTAACATTTTACATTTAATCACACAAAAATACAGCATAAATGTACAAATCATTTATTTATAAGGAAATATTATGATAAGTACAATCAGAAATTTTATGTACTAGTATATAAACATAAATATAATGTATATTCCCTATGATAAATTAATCACAGTGTACAAGTATATGTAATTACATGTACATTCTGCTATGATATTCCATGGAATAAATAAAACAATGTTGATAATTCACATATAAAATCCTAATTCAACTTGGAAATTCAACTCTTCTTTGGGACTAGGCAATCCTTTTATCATGTCTGTTTTGGCATCCAGACTCCTACACTGACATCACTTCCTGCACTCGCTAATACTCCATTCTGATAGGCTAGCTATAAATAAAATGAAATACTGTGTAAATGAATATAAAATGGGGGTGGGGGTGGGGGTGGGGGTGTATGAATGTCTTACTGATCAAAAGAGAGTTGCCCTATAAACATAAACCTCTGAAGCCCCTGGGTACTTACTCTGGATACATCAGCTGTGTGTTCAGTGATTATTGTCAGGGGTTCTGGATTAAGGGTGGGATCCAGTACTTTGATTGTGTTGTCTGTGGAACAAGAGAATATTGCTCCTGGTGTGTAAATAACTCCAGTGGCTTTACCAGAGTGACCAACATCAAATGTCTAAAGAAAAAAGAATGGTCATTATGTAACACTAAATTTAATTTCTCATATGGAGAAATGCAAGTCTTGTCCAGCATTAAATTTGTTATACAAAATTTTACAACTGTTACTCTCTTGACTCAAAGAAGGATTTGGTTATAACATATCCATGAATGTAAACAGAATTTATTTTACTATCCACTACCACAAGTAAAATTTACATATTATAATTAAATTTTATAATAAAAACAAAATATAAACAAGAGGCCCATGGGCCACATCGCTCACCTGAGCACTGTGGCTAGGAAAAAGTAGAAATTGGCTTATTTTTGAAAAGTTTAAATCCGAAAGTAGTCCCATGACCAATCATGGCTTTACTATTCTTGAGAAGAAATTTTTAAAGAATTTTCCTATATATTTCTATGCAAAAAATTTGGTTGGCCATTTTGGCCCCGCCCTACCCCTGGGGGTCATGATTTGAACAAACTTGAATCTACATTACCTGAGGATGCTTCCATATAAATATGATCAATTATAGCTTTGCTTTTCTTGAGAAGAAGATTTTAAAGAATTTTCCTATATAGTTCTAATTGTAAAACTTTGGTTGGCCATTTGCCCCCCCCCCTATCCCCCGGGGTCATGATTTCAACAAACTGAATCTACACTATCTGAGGATGCTTCCATATAAATATGATCAATTATGACTTTACTATTCTTGAGAAGATTTTTATAGAATTTTCCTATATATTTCTATGTAAAACTTTGGTCGTCCACTGTGGCCCCGCCCTACCCCCGGGGGTCATGATCTGAACAAACTTGAATCTACACTACCTGAGGATGCTTCCATATAAATATGATCAATTATGGCTTTACTATTCTTGAGAGGAAGATTTTTAAAGAATTTTCCTATATATTTCTATGTAAAACTAAATTGGTCGGCCATCATGGCCCCACCCTACCCCGGGGGTCATGATTTGAACAAACTTGAATCTACACTACCTGAGGATGCTTCCATATAAATATGATCAATTATGGCTTTACTATTCTTGAGAAGATTTTTATAGAATTTTCCTATATATTTTTATGTAAAGCTTTGGTCGTCCACTGTGGCCCCGCCCTACCCCCGGGGGTCATGATCTTAACAAACTTGAATCTACACTACCTGAGGATGCTTCCATATAAATATGATCAATTATGGCTTTGAAATTTTTGAGAAGAAAATTTTTTAAAAAATTCCTATATGTTTAAGAAGAAATTTTTAAAGAATTTTCCTATATATTTCTATGCAAAAAATTTGGTTGGCCATTTTGGCCCCGCCCTACCCCCGGGGGGCCCTGGGGGTCATGATTTGAACAAACCTGAATCTACACTACCTGAGGATGCTTCCATATAAATATGGTGAATTATGGCTTTGTTATTTTTTTTAACTAGAAAAATTTTAAAGAATTTTCCTATATCTTTCTATGTAAAACTTTGGTCGGCCAATATGGCCCCGCCCTACCCCGGGGGTCACGATTTGAACAAACTTGAATCTACACTACCTGAGGATGCTTCCATATAAATATGATCAATTATGGCTTTACTATTCTTGAGAGGAAGATTTTTAAAGAATTTTCCTATATATTTCTATGTAAAACTTTGGTCGGCCATCATGGCCCCACCCTACCCCCTGGGGGTCATGATTTGAACAAACTTGAATCTACACTACCTGAGGATGCTTCCATATAAATATGATCAATTATGGCTTTGAAATTTTTGAGAAGAAGATTTTTTAAAAAATTCCTATATGTTTAAGAAGAAATTTTTAAAGAATTTTCCTATATATTTCTATGCAAAAAATTTGGTTGGCCATTTTGGCCCCACCCTACCCCCTGGGGGTCATGATTTGAACAAACCTGAATCTACACTACCTGAGGATGCTTCCATATAAATATGGTGAATTATGGCTTTGTTATTTTTTTTAACTAGAAAAATTTTAAAGAATTTTCCTATATCTTTCTATGTAAAACTTTGGTCGGCCAATGTGGCCCCGCCCTACCCCCGGGGGTCCTGATTTGAACAAACTTGAATCTACACTACCTGAGGATGCTTCCATATAACTTTCAGCTTTCCTGGCACAGTGGTTCTTGAGAAGAAGATTTTTAAAGAATTTTCCTATATATTTCTATCTAAAACTTTAGTCGGCCATTGTGGCCCAGCCCTAACCCCGGGGTTCATGATTTGAACAAACTTAAATCTACGCTACCTGAGGATGCTTCCATATAAGTTTCATCTTTCCTGGCACAGTGGTTGTTTAGATGTAGATATATTATGTAATTTCTTATATATTTCTATGTAAAACTTTGGTCGACCATTGTGGCCCCGCCCTACCCCGGGGGTCATGATTTGAACAAACTTGAATCTACATTACCTGAGGATACTTCCACATAAGTTTCAGCTTTTCTGGCATAGTGGTTGTTGAGAAGAAGATTTTTAAAGAATTTTCCTATATATTTTGATATAAAACTTTGGCCGGCCATTGTGGCCCCGCCCTACCCCCAGGGGTCATGATTTGAACAAACTTGAATCTACACTACCTGAGGATGCTTCCATATAAGTTTCAGCTTTCCTGGCACAGTGGTTCTTGAGAAGAAGATTTTTAAAACATGCCACCAAATTTTTATTAATTCCCAAATATCTCCCCTCGAATGAGGACGTGGCCCTTCATTTGAACAAACTTGAATCCCCTTCACCAAAGGATGCTTTGTGGCAAGTTTGGTTGAAATTGGCCCAGCGGTTCTTGAGAAGAAGTCGAAAATGTGAAAAGTTTACAGACAGACAGACGGACTACAGACAAAATGTGATCAGAAAAGCTCACTTGAGCCTTCGGCTCAGGTGAGCTAAAAAGGAAGATTTTAAGTGGTATAAACAATCTAAACTTTTCTATACTTGCCTTAATATACTCAAACTGTCCTAGAGAAGCATCATACAACTGTAGATTCCCATCTTTATCAGCCACCCAGAGTTGTTGATGACCAAAAGAGATATCCATTGCATAACTCTCCAACTAGAAAAAATTAAAGTGTAAGGAAAAACTTAGGTACGTCTAGAGACATGGACATTTTTGATATACCACAACTTTCAAGGAAATAAAAAATGAATATATTTTTTTCAAAATGTGAACTTTAAAACTGTTTACCTGTATTGCTTTGTTAATTGTTTCATCAATTAAAATCTGTGTTGACCTGTATAGTTTTATTAGTTATAAATCTGTTTACCTGTATTGTTGTATTAATTATAAATCTGTGTTTACCTGTATAGTTTTGTACACCTGTCCAGCTCTCCTATCAAATACAGCCACTGTTTTGTCTTCACTTCCTGTCACAATATACTTGTCGTCTGCTGCCAAACACAGAACAGGTCGCCGATGGTAACGCTTCCTGTGGACCTCCCCATCACGAGGGTCAATGATGTAAATATGTCGATCATATCCTGCAGCAAATACCTGATTGGCTTCAAAGTGGATCCCAAGAATGGCTGATTTACATCTGTTTAAAGAATTTTTAGCTGAGATGCCAAAAGATGATAGCAAAATCCTACTAAGCCATATTTTCTTCTTAGTTCTCTAGGAATTACTTACTTGTACTTGCTGCACTCAGTAACTCCATTATTGAGGTCCCACATTTTGATATAGGTGTCCCAGGATCCAGAACATAGCTTATTGTCATGTGATGCCAAACTCCATATCCAACCCTACAAGAATAACATTATACTTGCAGTGAATTGTCTGTATTCCAAACATCCAATCTATATTATATAAACTATTGATTCAAATGATTATATATTTGATAGATATATGAATTTCTCAGATCTAAAAATTATAGAATTTTATCCCTCATACACATATTAGTAACTGCTTCCAAGAAATAAAACATTTCTTACTTTGTGTGCCTTGGCATCTGAGTATATTTTCATGGCTTTTACACTGGCTGAATCATCTGGACTGTACTTGGTCAAATCCAGAATATTAAGATATCTGTCCCTAGATCCTGAGGCTAATATGGTCCCATTCTGGAAAAATAAGGAGGCATGTAAAAAAAAAATCTTTGAAATATCTGTGAAAAGTTTGAAAAAATGTTCTTTTTGCATTGTTGCCTCAGTATTTGGCAGAAACTTAGTATATGTCCAAGTTCCAACATAATTATTAACATAATTTGCTAAATCTTCCTTACTTAATTTTCAAGAAAGAACAGACTTCTTTCATGAAAGTTAATTACTGTAGCTCAGAAAGATTGCCTTTTTTTTCTCTTACATTCATTAGATGAACAGCATCTACAGGGGCAAAAATACCCTCTCTGTAGAAGAAATGGTGACAGGTTTGATCTGGATTACTCCAGATTCTGTAGGATTCCTCCCTCTCCGCACAGGCCTCCCTCCAGCTGAAGTTTTCATCTAAAAGGATGCAAAATTATTTTTTTCAACTAAAACCATTATCACCAGCCCCTAACATCACTCCTTTCCAAAAATAAATACTGATAAATAGATGTGTCAAGGAGACACAAATACCCCCTAACATGAGAGTTCTAAACACTTGTGTGAAAGTCTCAGTGAAAATATCAATGTATGGAAATGGCAGAAAAATAAATTATCTTATTTTGTATCAAGTTTATAGCATGAGATCTGATTAGTTTGCATGTCAGGTCTAAATTTTCCTACACCAGACTACAGCCAGTGGGTAAATAATGTGACATCAAAATGCCATCATGTAAAATTCCTTTTACCACAAAAAGCAAATAACTTAATAATGTCACAATGCATTGTCACAGTAGCATACAGTAAATTTGATTGATGGAATGAATGATTGATTGTATGTTGTTTTATGTCCCATTCGAAAAATTTTCATTCATGTAGAGACATCTGATGATCACCAGTATCAGTGAAGGGCTTCAAATTTTGACTTTAACTTGGCACTCAGGGCCATTGAGGAGTGAGGGATCTTTATTGTGCCAATGCCTGCTATGACACTGGACCTCGGTTTTTTAAGGTCTCATCCAAAGGAACCGCAACTTTCACTTCAAGTGCCGAGCGCATGGTGAAGGAACATGCAGTTGCTGCCCATTTTTTATCAATTTAGTTCAGTCACCTCCAAGATTCAAACTCACAACCTCCCGATCATGAAGGTAGCGATCTACCGACTGAGCTACTGTGAATGGTTTGTCGTTAAATGTATCTTACCAAATACACAATTAGTTACATGAAACTTACATGGATGGATACATGTCACTTACCATATACCAGTGGATAAACTTGTAACTTACCATATACAGGTGGATATGGTTTGGGCCATCTTTTGTGGATACGGGTTTTCCAGTATATGTCACTAACAAACAAGTCCTGAAAACTAATACACACTTTACTCAGGGTGTGGACAAGAAACTTTGCATCTAAAAAACTGCAGATGTGCATTAACAGTTCCACTGGTAATTTTTCTAATGTGAGTGACACGTCTGTCCTCTGTTCATCTTCAATCTGAAGATCTGTGATATCGACTCCATCTTCTATGGAGATTGAATCTGATGGAGGATATTTATCTTCTTTCTCAGGATTATTTGATCTGTCTGCATTTTTATCCATCATGTACATGTACTTCTGAAATCAAATGGCCATGTTTCATTGTGAGTATTATGTAATTAATAAAGAATAAAAAAAATTAAAATAATCAAAAAAAATGTTTTACTAGTCAATGCATCAAAATTGTAAGCAACTTAAAAATTGGACCTATTATACACATAAACTAAGTGAATAACAGAACTTTAATAGCCTTCTTTCTATGATTAATTTTGAGAAGGATACACCAAACATCAAAAAGCAACAGAGAAAATTCGAAATAATTCTCGCCTACATGCAATCCTATCATCACCTGTCTTGACAGAACTCACCTTTCAGTAGGGTGATACAACAGAATCAAAGGTGGCTGAAAAATATCAATCAGTGAGTCATGTCAAAAAATAAAAATACTGTAATCTACATTTTCACGTGTGAACGGCCACTTACTTCTTCCGTAAACAATGTAACATTGCGCAAAATGTAGTGTAGACAGCATATTTTTCAGAAAGATATATGGCTAAAATCATCAAATAGTAAATAAAAATTATTTTTTTGCTACTATTGAAGAAAATATCCTAATAAATGTTAGCATTATGAATTCAAAGTTTTTTCCTTTAAATATTATCTGGCGCATTAATATCCACTTGTGCTGTGACTAAAAAGAGGAAAGGATTAGTAGAACTAATTTAAAAGGTGCAAATAATTAAAGAATGGAAGTTCTTCCATAAATGTTGATTTGACTTAAATAATGCATATTCAAAAGAAAATGTATGCATATACACTTATAAACAATCGGGAATCATACGTCATTTGTCCTTTTAGAAAGGACTGAAAGGTCGTAATGCTGTTTGTCTAACATTTCCGTGAATGTTTTTTTTTAAGTTTTTTTAAAAAATATATATTTATGTACACCTCCATCAAATGATTCGTATATTCTGAATTCAAAATAAAAAATGCCGCATAATGGTACGTTTTCCTCTAAACTTCAAATATTCTAGTTTTATTTCAAAGCGGAAATTAGGGTGACCTGTCCTATAAGCAAACAAATGGTTGCAAAATCCACCCTTTTTAGACGGCTTTACAGCGTGTGTATGCGACATTTCAGCTCTGACAGCATGTCGTTCAAGTTTTCAGCAAATCTTGCATTTATGTTCTCTGAGTTTCCTTCCATGGTTGAGAGATATGATGCTGCAAAAGCCGCAGGATTTAAATATGTTGAGAGTGCATTTCCCTACTTGGAGCCTTTGGAATCTGTTCAGAATGCTATAGAAAAATCTGGTCTAGAACAAGTTTTGATTAATGCTTGGCCAGGTAATATATAAATAAGTTTAAATTCCAGATCAAAAAGAACATTTTTTTCTTTTTTAGACCCAAATCATTAATTATTTACATTTATATATAATATTTGACTCAAAAAAGTGATGGGACATCCAATTAAATTAACTATATAATTTGGTAGTACCGTTACTAGACAAAGACTCCAATTACTAATAGTCTGCAGAAAATTAATTTGGTTTGACAGCAAAGTCAGATGGTTTTTGGACAGATACAAATGTCCTATGTTCTATTTTATTCAATACCATTGAAGAAAGTCAGACCATGGGAGTTATATAACCGTCAGACTTGTATATATAGATACATGTATATTACAATCACAGGCACTTGCTTTGGAAATAAATTTTTAACCCATAGTATAACAATAATTTATTATTTTACTTAGGGCGAAAATTTTTTGTGTTCTTCTAATCATGCTAATTGCAAGCTCATTAATTAATACAAGAGGCCCAAAGACCTAAATGGTCATTTTAGTTCCATGAGTTTCTTAGTAACTCGATCCGAGTTAGACTGTGATCAAGTCAGCTCTTTGTTTCTCTGTGACTGTCTCTCATCACATCTTCCAATTATTCAAAAAAAAAAACCAATCCATTTAACTTGTTGAAATTAACAAAGCTGTTTTACAGGTTATAGGGACCATGGATATCAGCCTGGGTAGTTCAAGATGTTACAGTACCTTACTAGTACTTCAGGGGTCCTTGGTTCGATTCCTGGTCCAGTCATTTATTTTCTTTATGCATTTCTCCTTTCATGCTACAATGGAAAGCCATACATAATTTGAAATTAAAATGAATTATATCTATAAATCTCACAGATTTTGAAAAATATATAATTCACTTTAATTAAATGTATCGATATATTTGAATATTGATATGGGTTCGTCACATATGATCCAATTTTGTAAAGCCTAAAGATCTATTATATGATAGATATTTGGTCATTTACCAACCTGCATCTGTATCTAGATAAATATTTACAATAAAAGTGTTACATTGCACCTCAATCATCATGTCTACATCTTAACAATAGTACATGTAAAATAAATAATCCTCTTTTTCTTTTTTCTAGGAGATTTAAGTAAAGGTGATCTTGGGATAGCTGCTTTGCCAGACAGACAAGAGGAATTTGAAAGCAAGCTAAACCTGACACTTGAATATGCAAAGGCCCTGAAATGTAAACGGTATTCAGGGTTGCAAATAACATTTAAACCTTAGGGGCAATGTGGGCCCCCAACTTCACAAGTTTTACTAGCCCACATTGATTTTATGGGGCCCACAATTTTTTTTTCACTTTGTAAAAAATCTTTTCATATGAAAACATAAGAGAAAAATACTTTATCGCCATAGTATTTCATTATTTCTTTTCAAATTTTTCCTGCAGAATTTTACACTACTAAATGTATGAAATTCCATAAAGATTCATTTAGCAAAAAATATTTGCAACATTCCCACTTCTTTTTTTTTAATAAAGGAGCCCACTGACCCTGATAACGGATAAAGGAAAATTCATTACAATTTTGTCATACAAACATCAATTTTAGTATAAATATCTATAAAATACAGTTTTTGATAAATCTGACATGACACATTTACATGTAATATGCATATTAATTCATTTATCATTTTAGTTAACTTCTTTATTCTCCAGAATTCATGTTATGGCAGGCATGAAACCAAACAATTTTGATGAAACTGAAATGGAGAAAACCTTTATTAAGAATATAACACTGGCAGCAAAGAGGTTTGAACCAGTAAGTTCTAAGAAAAAAATCTCTCTTGTACATACAAAATACCTTCCTTACTAAGTAATGAAATGACTAAGTCTATGTATATATTTCTGAGTATTTTACCTTTATTTATTCACAGGAGGGAATCACCTGTGTAATAGAACCCCTGAACAGTAGAATAACAGCACCCCGTTACTTTCTTACTGATATTAACAAGGGTATGTACAGGTATATTTTCTTCAAATAATGAATGCCATTTGGAAGGAGGGGGTAAGTCTATTAGGACACTTTTTTGCCTCTTTGGTGGACTTCATTGATATTAAAACAGGCATTTCACAATACATACCCAGTACGTATGTTTTCAATACATATTGACCAACTAGTAAGAAGGTAGATAATTTTGTGATTAAGAAAAGTTATAATGTCAAAGGCCTCTCTATTTAGCTAGACTGATTTATTCTAAAGTCTCTATTTATTTGCAGCTGTTGAAATAATCAAGAAAATCAACAGACCTAATTTGAAATTACAATTTGTAAGTTGTTAAAAGATATTTATAGACATAGTTATAATAAACTTAAAATTGTCAAAAATAGATAAAATGACATTAGCCTTCAAATCAATTTGAAAGTCAAGTTATACATGTAAATAAATTTATGTATACATGCATTGTTCAATTTATAATGTAATTCTCTTTTCTTTCATTCAGGATTTCTTTCATGTGCAGATAATGGAAGGAAACTTAACTAAAACCTTAGAAAAATATTTGCCATATGTTGGTAAGCTGAATATTTCGCTTATCTGGGCTGGGGGGCTTAAGTGAGTTTTAAGAATGTTTCAATTAGAATTAAATTGTGCATTTTATATGCTATGCAGTGATGCACTTTCAGCAGTGTTAATCTTTTATTACTGGGTATATAGATGTGGAAATTTATATGAGTAGGTTATACAGTAAAATTGGAAGAAGGAAAGTTCTACTGAAGTATTCACTATATTTATATTGTTACTGTGTGAAAGAAGGATAGCAGAATAAAATTACCTCCCTTTACAGACTCTCCCATTGATTCCTATGTAGAACTTATTTATGGAAAGTGAAAATTCAGTTTTTTGTTAGCTCACCTGAGCCGAAGGCTCAAGTGAGCTTTTCTGATCACATTTTGTCCGTCGTCCGTCCATCTGTAAACTTTTCACATTTTCAACTTCTTTTCAAGAACCAATGGACCAAATTTAATTAAACTTGGTACAAAGCATCCTTGGGGAAGGGGAGTTTAAATTGTTAAAATGAAGGACCAAGTTCCGTTACAAGGGGAGATAATCAAGAAAAGAACAAAAATAGGGTGGGGTCATTAAAAAATCTTCTTCTCAAGAACTACCGATCCAGGAAAGCTGAAACTTATGTGGAAGCATTTTTGGGTAGTGTAGATATTAAATTGTTACAATCAGGACCTCCGGGGGTAGGGCGGGGCCACAAAAGGGAATTCAAGTTTTACATAGAAATGTTTAGAACAAATATTTAAAAATCTTCTTCTCAAGAACCACTGGGCCAGGAAAGCTGAAGCTTATGTGGAAGCGTCCTTGGGTACTGGGTAGTGTAGATATTAAATTGTAAAAATCATGCACCCCGGGGTGGGGCGGGCAACAATAAGGACTTCAAGTTTTACATAGAAATGTATAGAACAAATCTTTAAAAATCTTCTTCTCAAGAACCACTGATCCAGGAAAGCTGAAACCTACCTGGAAGCATCCTTGTGTAGTATGAATATTAATTTTTTAAAACCATGACCCCCAGGGGTAGGGTGGGGCCACAATAGGGAGTCCAAGTTTTACATTGAAATATATAGAATAAATCTATAAAAATCTTCTTCTCAAGAACCATTGGGCCAAGAAAGCTGAAACTTATGTGGAAACATCCTTGGGTAGTGTAGATATTAAATTGTTAAAATCATGACCCTGGGGGGTAGGGCAGGGCCACAACAGGGAGTCCAAGTTTTACATTGAAATATATAGAATAAATCTATAAAAATCTTCTTCTCAAAAACCATTGGGCCAAGAAAGCTGAAACTTATGTGGAAGCATCCTTGAGTAGTGTAGATATTAAATTGAAAAAATCAGGACCCCCGAGGGTAGGGCGGGGCCACAATAGGGAGGGTGAGCGATGTGGCACATGGCCTCTTGTTGTTGTTTTTTTTTAACATGAGGACATTGAAAATATGTACATCTGTATTTACTCTTTAGATATTATAAATCTCTCTGAACTTTGACCAAATGTTACTTTGCTGTACTGGATACTAGATATTTAATTTAACTTGAACGCCTGTTATTTCAGGTCATATACAGATTGCTCAGGTCCCAGACAGGGGAGAACCAGACAGACAGGGAGAAATCAATTATACCTATGTGTTTGAATTACTACAGAAATTAAAATATGATGGATATATAGGACTTGAATATAAACCTAGAGGTAAATGGAACGTAAACATAAATTATAAGGACCTCTTTGCAACAATAAAATATTTTTGGTGTTATATGTTTTCCACACAGAGTACCTGTCATTTAATTATCACAAAGCATCCATGAATGGTAATTATGTTTGTTTTACAGGAAACACAGTGGAAGGTTTGAAGTGGCTGAAAGATTATGGATTACAACTTTAATAAATAAAACTTTTTTACATTTATTTTTTTTTTTAAATAAACCATTGGAATGCAAATGCAAATAAACAGAATAAAAATATACATTTATTGACTGAGTTCGAGGGCAACGTGCGTTTTGCCCGAGAACTCTGTCAATAAATGTTTTGTTATACCTTTCGTTTTATTTTATATTTTTTGACATACATGTATTTTGTACTATATTCCGTAATGTAATATCAGGTCTGTCACTGTTTAACACTAACGAATGAAAATGAGATTAAGCTCCGCACATTCTGTGGCGTAAGCGGTCCAAAATCGATTTTTTTTTATGCCCGCTCAGCAAAACATTAAAATTGTTAGACTTTTTTTTGTATAGATTTGTATAGGAACAATTTTTTAAAGGTATAACAATACTGTGTATCATTTGTTACTTCTGGTACTTTTTTCATTCTAACTTTTTTGTGAGTATACCGGTAAATTATCTTACTAATCAATGAAAACAAAGACACTATTGTGTAACAGGAAAGGAGAAAATGTATGGCTTAACTCGGAAACAAACCTAAGAACCTGGGATTAGGAGCCAGATGCTCCACCAACTAGGCTATCTCAGCTGATATTGCAGTCTAAACCATTACATTCCTCCCTCCTTTAATGGTCTTCAACATCGAAGATACAATCCAAGTTTTTATTTGCCCCTGGCAGGATTTTCTCCAAGGGTTGTAAATGGCATAAAGTCTGTAACAGAAGGTGAGAAAATGTGTGGCTGGACCATGAGTTGAACCCAGGACCCTGGATCACTAGTCAGGTGCTCTACTGACTGAACTATCCAGACCAATAACCACAGCCAAAACAATTACATTTGTAATTCTGTACGTAATTTTTAATTGGTTTGTCAGTACGGTGGTGCCTTGTAAATATAGATGCCAATAATCTTGATGCTTTAACTTCTGAATGAAACTTTTGTCAATATAAATTACATTTATATCTATAAGTTATATTGGTAATATATGCGTCCAGGACACTGCATTTAATCCACACTAAGATTCTAGATGCATTTAGCAAAATAAATTTTGTAATAACTGAAAAAATACTCAGAATCACATTGACTTCGAAGCTTTATACATGTACAAAATGCAGCTCCAAACAGAAATGTGAAATATTCACACTGGGAACATAATATATATCAGAGGTATGACAAGAATTCTGTTGGAATATTTCTTGGTGGGTATTGCACTTTATGTTTGGTACCACTTTACAGAAGATTGCTTGTACTCAAGTTCTTAGGATATATGACTTGTACCTCAAGTTCTTAGGATATATGACTTGTACCTCAAGTTCTTAGGATATATGACTTCTTAATCAAGCTCTTAGGATATATGACTTGTACCTCAAGTTCCTAGGATATATGACTTGTACCTCAAGTTCCTAGGATATATGACTTGTTCATCAAGCTCCTAGGATATATGACTTGTACCTCAAGTTCTTAGGATATATGACTTGTACCTCAAGTTCATAGGATATTGATAAGTCTTACGTACCTTTGAACACACATTTACACAGAAGTTTAGATTGGTACGTGTATATACACTGTATGTTAAATTACTTTTCTTTTCAGAAAGAATAATCAAGGGTTCAAATTTTACCAAGTTACTACCAAACCGTTAAAATAATTAAAGTAAGCTAGCATCTTGCCAAAAATTCCTTCTATGTTTCAAAGTATGTCAGTTAAACTAGCTTTCAGTGCTGAATAATTCTCCAAGGCATCTCTTACACTCTCAACTAGTGAAGACAAATATAAATGTGACAAAGAAGCTATTGTTTATCCATTTAATTAAGAATAATTCACATACACATACATTAACATTATAGCTGGTAATGAACAAAGCTACTCAGCTTTCAAAAATTATATGATCATTGCAACTGACTGCAGATAAAGAAAATTTTAATAAGTTGTACTCAGGTTTTATACTGAAAGTTTATGAAAGAAAAACAACCCGTACAAGCATATCTAATGAAAAAACCATTCTGTTGTCCCAGAAAAATTTTATTTTCTAAATGCATCCAACAGTGAAAATGGTTCTGCATCAATCTATAGTACACTACCAAGTGTACAATATTTAGCAAAACAAGTTTTACTTAAAACATGGAACAATAAGGCCTTTCTAAAGAATAAACATTTGTGCGGGCTTTACAGAAAGGATTCACAATAAGTTTAGTATTTTTGAATATCAATACCTCTGGGAGCAGACTAGTTATACAATTATGATTTAATCACAACTGAATATACTCTGTAGAACAAACTTTATATTATTTCACATTAACTACAGTTTAAAAGTCAGCTTTGAAAACCATCAACAAATCAGGTCTTGTAGATAAAAGGTGAATGAACATGTTTGTAGGTCATTCTTTCAAACTCGGGGTTTTCATTTCATATTTCAGTTTTTTAATAAACTTATCAACTTTGCTGATCATCATCATCAAAATTCTGAGATAAAAGAAAATTTGCCGCTAAATCTTCGTTCTTTTCACATGCGAAGTAGGCCTGTATGCACATTCCTTCTGAAAATCCTAATGCTTTAAGCTGAAATAGTAAAGAAAGATGGTTCAAGTTAGTATCTACATTCCACAATTATGTTTTACATTGTACCAGTGTTATGATCCCTATGAACCGGCTACTGGCCAAACTGACTGCTTTAATTGACAAAAATGCCGCTTTGAAATAAAATTTTTTGAAAGGTCCACAGAGATTTTGTTCATAAACCTCAGCCCCTAGCCTGTTACAAATGATCTCGAACCCTTTACTTTGAAATATAGGGAAAACACTGTTGAACAGTTTTTATCTACACTATAAATGACATTCAAAGCTATAAATCTCATAGATTTTTATTAACCAAATAAATTTAATAAAATGAAGTCAGTACTGGGTGGCAGTGGCCTGATTGACTTATTTTACACCTTATACTAGTAATTGCTAACATTACCCTTTCTATAGCCTCTTTTTCGGATGGTGTAACTTGAATGTAACCACTTCCTGGAGGGGCACCACCAGGAGGGAGACCACCCCCCTGAGCCTGATCTGAAACCTCACCCCCCTCCATGGGTTCATTCAACATCTGGATGAATCGCTCCTGATTCTGACTTATCATCTGCAAGAAATAAGAATAACACTCAAAGATATTGCTACCTCATTACACACAACTCTTCTATTCACTTTACATTCATCTGCTATTGAATTAAATCTTTCATAATTCTGCTTGTGCATGTAGTACCTTTGTGAAGAGAATTAAACTGAAATATCAAGTTTTTCTACATATACAGCTCAAAATTGTCATCCATAACCATACTCACTTTTATTAAGAAACAAGCAGACTATTTCAGGATATTTTACCTGTAATAATGGAGGATTGGACTGTCCTATTTGTCTAAGAAGTTCAGGTAAGAATTGGGGATTATCTTGTATCAGCTGTCTCATTCTCTGAAACTGTGGTTGAGTTCTTAAAAATGATAAGGGATCTTCTCCTACAAAAAAAACAGGTTCTTAATTACAATGCAACAAATCTAATCAATTATTTAAAATTCACTTCGTTTCTACTGAGCCTCTAGGCCTTGGACATTGTCCTGTACAGACCTCCTGTTTGTCCTGCGGGGGGCATTGTTAATGAGCCACTTCCTGGGGGGTTTGAGGCTGGGGGAGTCTGTTGTGCAGTCTGTTCTGGTGCGGGGGCTACAGGAGCTGCTGGGGCACTGGCAGGGGCTTCTTGTTCTGATGTCTCAGGAATCCCCTTCAAAGAAAGTCATATGTTCACGTTTACATTAAATGCCACAGAGAGAGAGACAGAGAGTAACCAACACACATTTTAGAATACATACATTTATATTCTGATACATGTACATACATATGAAATACAGTCAAAGATTCTTTATAAATGGACAAGAAAAACATAACTAACACTCAATAGTAGAAAATCTTTTACCTGAAAGAGGTATTCCACTGCTCTGTTTGGATTGTTAAAGCTGGCCCGTAGTGCTCGGACTACCTGATCTCTCTCAAAGCCCATAGACATAATCTCCATCACCATGTTCTCATACTCCTGACCGGTCACCAGCATGCTTTCTGCCGTCACCGGACCAGGGGCTGAACTACTCTGAGTCTCTGTTGAAGCTGTTGATGTACTTGTGGTAGAGGGAGTTTCTGTTTTTGTTTCACTAATAAAGAATTTTTTTACTTAATGATCAAGCTAGAATATCCATCATATATCGTATACGTAGAAATTTTAGCAAGGATTTAATTTTGGCATTATTAGCGAGGCTGTTGAGATCGCTAAAATTGAATATCGCTAAAAATAAACTGCGTGTTATTTGTTCTAGCTTCCTTAGTGTACATTTTAAAATCGCTAAAATTATCTCTCACTAAAAATAAAATACCAGTTTTTAAGGAGAAATCGCTAAATTTGCCTCTCACTAAAATTTCCACTTATACGGTATCTTATGAGACATGAAAGGTTTATGTTTCAGGAATTCAAATTTATCAATTTTATAAAAAGAATGCTTTAATATTAGGGATGTCAAATCGGTCAATTTTTAATACTCGGTTACTCGGACGCTTTTCCGATCGAGTACCCGGGTACTCGGTAAGTGTGAATAAATATGAAGACGTTAATTGATGAATGTAAAACATTGTAAACTCTTGTAGAAATAGAACCACTTGCTCTGATAGGAGGTTTACCCGTAAATGTATTTCTGTTGTAACAATGATGAGCACTTCGTGCCCGACGAAATAAATTTAATACAACATTTTTTAAGTTCAATTCATTTATCAGATAAACACAAGAAATAAAATCGTAAGTGGTTCACAGTGTTTTTGTTTTAAAAAAATAATCTACTCCGTAATTGTAATGTAACTCTTTGTTGCGTTTGACGTCCAGGTATCAGTCGTACAGTTTGACAGTTTGACTTGAACTTGACTAAGTTCTCCTAACAGAGCGGATTTACGATTTTCGTATAATTTTCG